CCCCTTCCCAACCATATAAGGAGGAAAAGGCCTGGTGATAAGCATCACTTGTTGGGAAAATGGTGACAGGAGTTGCAGACATGACCGTAAATGTTTGTCCAGTTATTGCAGACCATGCTACCGCTATTCTCCCATACGCAATCTGAAATCAAATAAGAATTAATAGCAAATGATGTTTGTCTTATGCCTCTTTGCTCCCATTTCTCTTACTGCTTTCCACCTTATAAGCTTCTAAAAAAGAGAGAGAGAGAAATGTTATTTGCACATTTCTTTCGGGCAGTTAATGAATTCTAACTTGTTTTTAATCAAGCAGCCAACAAATACAGTAAGACAATCCCCAGAGCGATGCAAATGCTGGGGCGGGGGATGTAAAATCGAAATCCAACTGCCTGGGCGCTTATAATTTACCTTCTGTCTTTTAAGATTTTCCCAGAAATGTCGAGAGGAGAGTTGAAATCTGCTGCGGAGGTAGCATTTTTCCTCCCTGGGATGCAAAGAAACACCCATCTTCTCTCCATTCCACAACAGATCTATCTCCTGCCTAACAAGCCTTGCCAATTTTGCCCCTAGAGGCAGATCCCCATCTGCTAAACCAGGGAGTAACTAATTTAAAGAGTTCTCTCTCGTCACACATGGAATTTTAATGAAGTTAGCTGAACCCCCTTCCTGCTCCCTTTGTTGACTGCGCTTTAAGAATATCAATGCACAGGCTTACAAAGAAAACCCTATTAAGACTTGCAGCTACCGGGGTCTCATTTTGAAATGCGCTTGCTAGCGTGCATTAATTCTTTCTGTTAGTCTCAATCAAAAGGAGCTTTCCTGAGACAAATGGAAATACGGTGAAACAGCAGCAGCAGCAGCAGCATTTTTCTGATAGCGTTTCGACATCTTTTCCGCTGGAAGAGATGCAGGTAATCCGTGCTGATCCAGGCCCACCCCAAAGGATGCCTGGACCCGCATCCTTCTTGGTGAATCCCTTCAAGGTTGCGTTTCTGGCATTCGGACAAGGCAACTTCCAAGATCTCAAAATGCAGCATTTGGTGCCAGAGGAAAAGAGTTATCTTCCAACTAGGACAGTGGTGGCGAACCTATGGCACGGGTGCTAGAGGCGGCACTCGGAGTCCTTTCTTTGGGCACGCGTGCTGTTGCCCCAGCCTCGCCTCCCCTGACTCCCTCACCAGCAGCCCCCCTGGAGGAGAGTCGCCCCGAGCATGGCCCACGCGGAACAGTGCAGCCAAGGACATGGCAGCCAGGCAGTGTGGACAAAACTCCCACCCTCTGGAACGAACTGCCCCCAGAGATCAGGGTGATCCCTGATCTCCCTTCCTTCTGCCGCGCCCTCAAGACGTGGTTGTTCCAGCAAGCGGGACTGGCCTAGGGGATTTTATAGGGGTTTTAATTACTTTTAATTGGACACTCTCAAATATTTCGTTTTAATTAAATTTTAACTAGGTGTAATATGTATTTNGCCCTGAGTCCGAAAGGAGAAGGGCGGGATATAAATGCAATTAATAAATAAATAAATAAAATAAATAAATAAAACTCTGCCCTCAGGCCCCATCGCGCAGGCAGAGGGCGTGGCCGCCATGGCGCTGCTGGGCTGCCCGGGTGATCTGCAGTGGGCCCTGGAGGCGGTGAGTGGCCCTGTGGGCAGGTGGGGTGGGGGCGCGATGGGGTGGAGTGGGGGTGGGGCCAGTTTTTGGGCACTCGGTCTCTAAAAGGTTCGCCATCACTGAACTAGGAAATTCTGCATTAAAATGGCCATCAAATTTCTAATGGCCTTCTTGATCTCAATTATTCTAGATGGAGAAATAGTGACATTCTTCTTCCCTAGCCAGCTTCATCAATTTCAAATACTGTACCTTATCAAGCCAAGAAAAACATATTTAAGAGAAGTACCTGTTTCAGCCTCTCTCTCCCTCCCCCCGCTCTGAGTTGCTTAGAGAAAGGAGGATAATAACAAGTACAGTACACAGGGTGTCTATTCTAGATAGCTTTGCATATCCCATTTACTCAAGACATTCAATCTCAATAACCCTACAGATAACCACTAGAAGGTAATAAAGATATTTTTTTTAAAAAACTCTAATACCATGTATTGTTCATCTGGAGTACTGCACCCCATCCAAGAGGTATCTTTAGACTCAGTGAGCTGAGTTGCTCTTTTAACTAACGATTCCATAAAACAGTTTCAGCTCTTACATCGAGATGGGCATACACTGTGTTGATTTCTCCGTCATAGCAGCAGCCAAATGAGAGTGATGGAAACAAAAATTAGTAAGATTAAGTGTAGTTCTTGGATAGCTCAACGTTTTAAAATTCATTTATGCTTTCATCTATATGTCACATACTCCATGGAATCTAGACAATTAACATTATTAAAAGATAAAACTTTGAAAAGTTAAAAAAAGGCCTCCCTAAATGACGCTTTCTTCCCCCGTGAAGACAAGTCCCCACTGCCTTCCAAAATGTAGGCAGAGGAGCCAGACTAAACTCTCATGGGGTGTGGGTGTCAGATATTCCAGCACAGAGATACTGCTACTGAAAAGCCTTGCTTCCGGGTACCCTGATTTTCAGCATGTCCTCTTGATCGGGATAGTGAGCGGGTGGGCGTATTTTACCTGGATCAGATGGTCCTGAAGGCAGCAAAGCCCTATCTGTACACCACCCAGAGTCACTCTATGAGCCTCTTGTAAAGAGTTGACCTTAGTGGAAGACATTATATTGGCCTAGTTTGCAACTTTTCACCTCTTCTATTCGTGGTAAATAGTGCTCTATGTTGGAGTTAACAACAAGCTCACTGGAATAAACGAGAGAGTCCCATTCTGAGAGTCCCAGCAGAAGATAGGGTACTGGGTCTCATCTGCAAAAATGCAGATAATGCCTAGATAGCAATCAAGAGTTAGCTTTCTCAGTCTTTTTGCTGCAATCTAACAGCCAGGTGGATTTGTGTATCCCAGATATTTTAGCCCTAACACAACACAAATTTCTGATACATTGTGGTCCACTGTGGTGGGGAGAGGGTGGTGTCTGTGTGTGTTTAAATAAGAGGTGGTCATTTTAAGGTGTCCTTCCTTGCTTGGGGGGGGGGGGGCATACAGGAAAACACAAGTTTTGAAGAATAGCCAAATAAGTGACTGATCCAATACTGCCCTCTTCTGGCAGAAGGAGAAAAGATGTGTGGAAAGAAATGATAGAAAAAATAAGCCACTAGAAGAAGTACATTTTATTTCACTGATACCAGCCTTGACAAAAATCATGGCATACTTCTAGATGTAAGCTGTAACTGATTCAGTCAATTATGTATGCATGTTAAAATACAGTATTTGGTAATAAAACTCAAGCTGCCACATACGTATTCCATCCTAGAAATCTGACAAAAGATTTTGAATATGCGAGCAAGGTAATTCACATTTGAATTAGATACCTATTTCTTGATGGCTCCATCAACTGAGTGATGATGACATGAATTGGTAAGGCAGCCTTCCCATCTGGATGCCCTCCGATCCAACAGTACTGGGGTACAGGGCCTCACATATGGCATCTTGACATATTTATTGACAATTAATAGCATCTGCAGATAAGTACGAATGAAGGCAAATATATGTTTCCCAAGTTAATGTTGTAGGATCCAATCTGGTTCAGTCACCGGGACCAGAGGTTTAGTCTTCCAAGTTTTCGGACTTGTGCTGGAGCCCATCCTCAGGGAACTTCTCTCTAGCAGAGTGTGAGCTGTTCTATGTGTGGTATTTATAGTGCCTGTTGTATGTGGTTTTCTAGATGTTGACTGGGGTGTGTTGATGGCTGGCTTTTAAGTCGTTGGCTGTCGTTTGCTTGTGCTACCCAGCCCTCGTCTTCTGAGTACTTGAATAGGCTGGTGGTAAATCAGCACTCCTGTTGACTTGACGAGGGAGGGGCCTGTTTCCCAGGCTTCAATTATTTCCCTGGCTATTTTTGTGCTTGCTCATCCAACAATCTTAGTAGGTGCAAAACTAAATGTGTGTCCTTTTTCATCGCCAGTGTGAGGCTACCAATGAGTTTGGGTCTCCTCATCTGACTATTTGCTTGTGTTCTTGCAATCTGGTGATTAGCTTTCCCCTACATATCCCAGAGGCAGGGGATTCAGTAGATTACATTGGAAGTATCTCCCACCTCCAAATAATATTTACAATGCATAAATTGTAAAGATGAGTACATCTAGAGGACAGCAAAAGGCCCAGGGAGGGTGAAATTTTGGTTGAGATTGAGGGCCAAAGGATAAAGCAAGGAGCTGAAGGTGGACAAAAAACTAGCACCATTCTTGTGTAAGCAGAGTTCCAGCCCAACAAGAAATCTTTTTTATCTCCCTGCATGTTTATTCACTTCTTTGATTTCTGACCTTCCTTTCAATTAAAAGCTCTTGGGGGCATATATAGCACTCCTTTCTCCCCTCTTCCCCAATAAGCTAGACTGAGCTGGGAATGAACATGATCAAGCTTAAATCCCTAGCGATACTGGAGTTGATACTGGTTCTCCCTAGTTCCTAATTCAACACCTTAACCCGGTGCTTCCCAAACCTGCTTTTTTTTTGGATAATTACACACAAACCCACTGCCCAATCGTAACAGGGACACTAAAATACTGAAAGTGTTTTACTGTGGGTAAAAAGGGCTTTCTGGGTAATGAAGGAACTACGAAGTCTCCACAGGCTTTGAAGCCAGGTGCAACCAAAACATGAAAGATATCACAGAATTAACATTCACAGTTATTGCAATGATTAACTTCCAGTGGCCCCTTTAGGCCAGATTCTGTGCTTTCAGACTGGGATTGCAAAGTTACCGCCGTGTCCACAGATGAACTGTACAACAGCATATCTTCTTTTAAACTAATGGACTACCTACATATACAATTGGAGTGATTGCTTCCCATGAATTCAGCTGTAAAAAGCTGAAGGGTGCTGGTTCTAAGCTAAGGGCTTCCTGATCAGTGAAACCTAGCAGGTGTTCCTCCTTCTTCTCTTCTCTTCAGTCTTAGCACTTTATGCTTTCCTAAGATGGCCACAAGCACTGAGCAATTAAGTGACTGGCATATAATCAGCTGGATGACATTCCTCCGGATTTTACTTCACACCCAAGATCCTAATTCTACCAGACGGCTAAGGATCAAAAGAGAAATTTTTCTTTCTTATTTACAGCTTTGCTTTACGCCCAGGTATTGCCAGGGTTTCAAGGCACTCCTTAACCAGCCTAGTTGCCTCCTTGGCAGTACCCTGGTGTATTGAAAAGCCACCTCCTCCATGGCCATAATTGTGAACCACCAGCAACTTCTCACTCTTGTGGGTCAGTACCTCCTTCTGCAGTCTCACAGCTGACCGAGATGGCCTCAGGCCTACCTTCACTTGTATATTCTCCGCTGTCCGAAGTGAAGGCTCAAGTGTGGAACACCTATCAAATATATTTTTGCTGGTAATGGGATCTGGGGACAAATTCCAGTTGTCTTTTTCTCTTATCCCACCTAATGTTACATTGTGTATCCCTGGATAGATGTAGGTCAGACCATCACCATCGCGAATGAAGTGCTTGATCCAAGGAGCGTGAACCTTGAGAACTTGCCCTCTGATGGGGTGTATCTCTAGGTCTCCTGCAAGTTTTCGGGAACCAATGCCTGAGCAGTTTACTACGATGTCAAAGTCACGGTATAGCTCCCGGAGATCTTCTATTTTCCTAGCGTGCACCTGGCCTCCATTTTCTTTCAGCCTATAAACAATATGTCAGAGGTAAAAAATATGGCACTTTTGAATCCTCTATGGGTAATGTTTTACTTAGATCATATAGTTCAAAGAGTGAGATCACAAATTTGAAGTGCAAAATTGAAGTGAGTAAAGAGAGGACCAAATCACATATGTGGGTCTGTGTGTCATCAACATCGTGACACAAAATGAACACATTTTGAACTGTGCTTCATTTGTACCATACTATATCACAGGATGCAAACTATGTAATTCAGATGGGATGTCATTGTGGTTTCTACCAGATACTTATGACACAAATCCCATCACAATGACAACCAGGAGGAAACATGCATGTAGGAAAACAGTGCGGGATATATCCTATTGCCTTTTGTTATCAGCTTTCAGCTACAAGTTCGGCTAATAAGAAAAGCACTCATCAAAATGATATAATATCTCATTGCTGAAAAGCTATTATTCAATTAGCAATTAAAATTATGACCAGTGGTATTTTTTTTAAAAGAAGGATTTGTGTTTTTGGAGAGAAGAAAAGATTTTGAATAGCGTTATGAGAAACGTCCAGCTAATTATAGATCCTCTTTTGCCACTGGAATTGGATCCCTTCTTTAATATGGATCCACAAAAAGTGTTGAATTGGGATCCAAAGAATCACACTGAGTTCTACATACCCAAAAAAAAATGCTAGGTTTTTGTATATATTGAGGCTTAATACCACATGGCCATTGTGCAACTAAGTTTCAGGGTACTGCGTAATATAGAAGTGTCATCCAACCGAGGGACCCAAACTGCACAAAATTCTGTTTCAAACAAATTCTGATTTCTATGAAAATCATGATGAAACCAATGGTACATAAAAGTTTCCCTGTGCCTCTTTGCCTTTGCAGTATGTCAGACAGTACAGGACTGATATTTTGGTTAGATCTCAGTTTGCATGTATTAGTCTAGACTCTAGTTTGTTTCTTGGCAAATGTTAAGTTTCACTCTCAAGCCAAAATGTCCCAAATCTTTATTTTTGCAGTAGAAATTCACAGGATTCTATAAGAAATGTCTATTCTTCTTTACGATATGGATTGGGAAGCTAGTGGGTAAAAGTACGGTTGGGTTTCTGCTCAAAAACACAATCCTCTTTGGCCCCAACATTCTGAGGAGTCTGATTTGGGAAATCTGCCCAGTTAATAAAAAAGCAACCATTACAACTTTCTACGGAGGAAAGAACTCCTGCCTGATTAGCTACCCAGAGCATTCATCCCAGAGCCCTGGACTGCTTAATGAACCATGTGAATCTTTGTTTGATATTAAACAATAGCGTCACAGGGCATATTTGTTAAACCGTTTCCCAGTTTGTGCCAACATGCAATCATGTTAAAGTCTGAACTTGGCAGATCTTTTTATAATTGAATATACTTGCAAGCTACGCTACCTTGCCTCCCAATGAAAATTCTTATTATCCACTCTAGCATGGGTCCTCAAACTTGGCCACTTTAAGACTTGTGGACTTCAACTCCCAGAATTCCCCAGCCAGCATAGCTGGCTGGGGAATTCTGGGAGTTGAAGTCCGCAAGTCTTAAAGTGGCCACGTTTGAGGACCCCTGCATTATAGTGATTCATGCCTTCCAGCTACATGGTTATTACTGATTCCCTTTGGGCGTCTTTTGATAAAGTACCAGAAATAGTGGCTGGGACACTGAAATGATGTTTAATAAATTGCACATTTATCAGTAGAAATTGTAATCGTGTTTTTTCAGCTCACTGGACCTGTGCCATTGCTCAAGGAAGCCTATCGGCCCCCTCTGCAGTGGGGTTTGTGCCACGTCATTGCACTGAGGAAGGGAAAGGCCTGTGGGAAATTACAAAAGAGTAAAACAGAAATGAGAGGCAGCAGAGGTCTCTGCTCATAAGCCCACTTGACAAATATTAAATGGATCCCGCAGCTTCACTGAGTATCAGTACTGTGTTCGGTGTTGTTCTAAAAAATGAAACATGACAGGGCCTGTGTGTCCCAAGAGACAACAGGTAGGATTGTGAGAAGAAAAAGCACTTCTGGATAATTAGAAGCCCAGAGTTGAGTACAGTGTACAAAACAGCAATACAACCTAATGACCAGCTAACTGTTGGCATTATTTGACTTGTACTCTCCATCACCTCTCTTGAATACAAAATAGTAAAAATGTCCAAATATTTAAAAGGGATCTCTGTCCTATAACACAAAAGCTGTCTTCCTGACTAGAGTGCCTCTAGATATGTTGAGCCATTACTATCCAGCCTATCCTATCCATCCAGCATTATCACCAGATAGCATCAGGCTGGGAAAAATCTCAAAGAACATCAGCTTCCCCAACAAGTTGGTGGCTGATAAAACTCATGACTAAACACCAGATAATGCATATATTATTCAGGCATAAAAAGTATCCTTGATGTAAGATGAAAGGAACTAGTTTAGGTCCAGTCATAAGCGTACATGTAAATGCTACACGATGCCTAGAGAAAAACGAGAAAAAGTACTTTGCAGTAGTGATTCAGAACAGAATTAATTTAGGCACATTAAGATCCAGTTTTGGTCACCACGATGTAAAAAAGATGTTGAGACTCTAGAAAGAGTACAGAGAAGAGCAACAAAGATAATTAGGGGACTGGAGGCTAAAACATATAAGGGAAGGCTTCTGGAATTGGGTATGTCTAGTTTAATGAAGAGAAGGACGAGGGGGGACATGATAGCAGTGTTCCAATATCTCAGGGGCTGCCACAAAGAAGAGGGAGTCAAGCTATTTTCCAAAGCGCCTGAAGGCAGGACAAGAAGCAATGGGTGGAAACTAAGCAAGGAGAGAACCAACCTAGAACTAAGAAGAAACTTCCTGACAGTTAGAACAATTAACCAGTGGAACAACTTGCCTCCCGAAGCGGTGAATGCTCCAACACTGGAAGTTTTTAAGAAGAACTTAAGAAGAACATTTGTCTGTTTTTAAGAACATTTGTCTGAAATGATATAGGGCAGACATGTCAAACTCATGTGACGTTGCGCAACGTATCGGAGCTTTTTCGCCATTGCCGGCAATGGGGTGGGTGCAGCTCCGGTATGATGAAATTGGCCCGCGGGCCAGCAGTTTGACACCCCTGATATAGGGTTTCCTGCCTGAACAGGAAGTTGGACTAGAAGATGTCCAAGGTCCCTTCCAACTTTATTATTATTATTATTATTATTATTATTATTATTATTATTATTATTATTATTATTATTATTATTATTATTAATGCTCTTCTACTTGACCTTGTTGGAAAGTCCACTTTACTGACTTGACAAAAGGACAGACACCAAAATGTTACACTCTTTGGAATCTGAAGCTTTCTCCTGAATGCATGCTGGCGTTAACAAGTATTTCCGTCTAACTTTGCCATATCTCATATTCTAATTTCCCAGATTTTGTTGGATCTTATGTACTGTCCAGTGGTGAAGAAAAAACACATACCTAAGAAATATGTCAGGGCAGAGTGGCACAATTGCTGATTCCTGCTTTTAAAGTCATAGGTCTGACTGAGGGGAATTTTATTCTTGGTGGGACATCTTTTAAAATTACCTGCCTACAATTACCCATTAATAGTAACTTGTAGATTTTTAAGAAGAAAAATTCCCTCTTATCCCTGAATCTCTGTGTAAAAGTGAATTTGTGAATACTATATTAAAAAGAGGTGTGCTCAAGATGGAAACCTTAATTGACAAAATATTATATTTTATTTGCTTGCTGGGATTTGTTCACTACAATAGTCATACCTAAAAGCTAGGTCTTATCCTGGTCCAGCATTATAAAGTTGACCTATAATATTGACAGGAAAGGTTCAATGGAGTGGGAAAACGAAGGATTAAGTGTAAAATGCACCACATGATTTAGATCAGTGGTTCCCAACCTTTTCTAGACCCCGCACCCCTAGAACGCTTCTGATATATTCTCATACCCCTTACAAAAGTTCAAAATAACGGCAATGAATTATGCATATACACTATAATTTTGAAAACCCAAGTTTTCGCACCCCCTGGAATATCGTCTAGCACCCCCAGGGTGTGCTAGCACCCCTGGTTGGGAACCCCTGATTTAGATCATATTTCTTTATTGTATGACTACATTTCAGCCTAAAAAAATTGAATCAATACCAATACCTTTTCTCCAGCCAAATTAAATATGATGGGCAGTCACATTTCAGTGTAGTAAAAGCTTGACCGTATTTGTGCTGTGGAAATTTCTTCAGCTCCTTTTCAGTCATTGAGCGAAAGCCCAGAACCACATCAGACCAGAATGGGGTCTTCTCCTCAGGAATGGCCTTAAATATTTGCCAGCTTGTTCATATGCAAAAGAATAAAAGTGTAAACACAGACATTCTTGGTGTTAAGAGTTTCTCCCCGCCGTGAAACAATTTTTCAAAATCAAGTTTTCAAAAATTCACCAAATAAAACCAGCAAAGTTGAGTTCCTAATCCACATGTTAATATGATGTTTAGGCACCACCAGTCAAACTGTATGTTTCAATTATCTTTAAATAAATAGAACCTGCTACAGCTTCTACATGGTCCATAATTAAAAATATATTTCTGCAAGTCTGAATACATATTTACTATTCATGTGTTACTGTTTACAAATTCAAAATAAGAAAACAGTGAATATGTAGATAGTTTGGATACTATTCCAGTTGTTGTTGCTGTTATTGTTATTGTCACTATAAAGCTGTTAATCAGGCTTGAAGAAATGAATGACTCAGTAGGCTACGGCCATTCTGCAGCTAGCATTAAACCAGTCGGGTTGTGATTGTCTACTTTCAATAATCACAGGCTCCTCTAAGCCTGTATCTAAGCCTTAGAAAATAAAGATAATTCATTCTTATAAAATAGGAAAAGTCTATTAAATGATTCCAGGCCGCAACTTCAACTAGGAGAAATATTGTTTTAAAAGTGTTAAACTGAACTCCCAAAGTCAGGGAAAAAAACAAGAATGGGGAGACCAAGAAAAACCTCTGCTAGAGCTGTATGGACTGTTACATGACTTCCCACGTGTGGGGTACAGTACATGGGGTCATGTAATGTTATCCCTCTGGTTGGAGAGCTTAAGGGAAAGTGGACTGTATACACACAATTCTGATGGAGCTTCTAGACATCCTTTCCTGCAACTGCTGAGCCTTAGGAGTTGGATAGCTCTTAAAGCTAATGCAACAAATATAGTAATATAAAGTGTGATGGTCTATGATAGGGGTCTTCAAACTTGGCAACTTTAAGACTTGTGGGCTTCAATTCCTAGAATTCCTCAGCCAGCCCTGGCTGGCTGAGGATTTCTGGGAGTTGAAATCCACAAGTCTTAAAGTTGCCAAGTTTGAAGACCCCTGGTCTATGAGTTTAATTCCTGGTAAAGGGCTTGAATTCCATAGAATAAGTCTGAATACTTACATCTGAGGAATCCAAATAAGAATGAACCTGGTCATATAGGGCCTCTTGGTGATGAATGTGACTGGAGTTAAGTCTCCCCTGGCAACTTTGCCATTCTAAGCTACAGAAGAAGTATGTGAACCAAGGACTGCTCTAGAGCAGCCGTCATTTAGTTTACCTCAGAATAGCACACAAAAGTGCTCAGAAAAACAGAAAGGATCACAAAGTATTGACTGCCAAACTTCTGCAACTGCATACATTCTCTGTTTTCTTATTTTGAAAGGGTAAGCAAGAGGTTCTACCCACAGACTTGAATTTTCCAATAACTCTGTTAAAGAAAGGCGGGGGGGGGGGGAAGGGTTAATGATAACAGTAATCCAGAGTTCTATAAATATCTTACAGTTAGTTGTACAAAAACACTGTTTTGTGCAAGCAAAAAGAGGGTAAGTCAGTCTATAGTTGACTGTAACTCCACATTTGCCCCAGAGCCTCTGAATAGTAGAAGGAGCTTCTGTTATATACCTTCTACATAAATGATATACTGTATAGAAGAGAAGAGATTTATAATCAGTCCCACCAGTAGAGCCAATTAGCAAGATAAAAGGGTTGTGTTCAGTATGGTCATATTCAGATTTTTCCCCCCTCCCTTTGCTCAGCCCGTCCCAAAGTTCCCAATTCCATCACAACTTTCTGTGTGAACAAAGAGAAGTCCAACTAAATGTGGCCAAGATCAATCGAGTACAGCATCCTGTTTCCCACAGTCATCAAACAGATGCACTGTGGGAAGCCCAGAGGCAGGACTTGAGAGCAATTCTATCTTCTGACATTACTTGCTCATCACTGGCATTTGGCACCAAACCTGCCTTTGAATATAAAGTACCGTGAGAAGTCAATGAACCTCTTATATATCAACAGGACATTATAAAAATCATAGGCTCAAGGCCAAGCTTCTGAAAACTGAAAGTCATATTTTTAAAAGAGAAAAGCAAGCGCCAGGGTAACATAGTAATGTTTCCCTAAATAAATTCTGAACCCAGTTTAAGGATCACGAAGATATAATTCTAAAATAAGTGTTTGTATTCTGTTTTTCTTCTGCAGAACTCAAGACTAGGGTTCTCTCCTGGTCCTCACCGGTATCATAAGCCTCCCGAGTTTGCCTTAATAAAGAGGCTTGCTCAGCACAATGCCGAAAGAAATCACAAAAGCATTAATGAACTCTATATTCACCCAGATACCAAATGAATCCCAGCTTCTGAGGCCTCTGAGGAATCACAGATGGATAACAGATGGTCAAAGGTCTCCCTAAACCACTGCTTCTGCTGATGAACAGGTGTGCCTGCAGAGAAGAAAGAAAACACATTTCAAATGGAGGGAAAGCATTTGAAGAAAATCCAGAAAAAGCAGACATAAAACGGTCTGCGCTGAAATTTATGCATTGGATACAAACTGCTAATGGAAGGTTTTGAGAATCAAGCAGAAATTCCACACAGGAGGAGAGGGACAGAGATGGTGTCTCTGAAACACCCGTGCCCCCCCCAAAAAAATTCCCCATACTATTTATGTTATTTTGGAAGATAATCTAGACCTCCAGGACAAATTTTCCCAAAACACAAGGAGTTGTAGAGGGGAAGGAGGAGGAATCATGATGGTCTTTTTTTACCATTCCTCTCCTCCAGCAAGAGCAGAACTCTTCCTAATGAGCCATTTCTCCACATTTAGCTAAAGAAGTGGAATAAAGTGATGTGAGACAATAGTTTGGTTTGCATAGAGGCTAATTACATAAAATGATGGTTGATTCTTCCTGTGAGTCCTAACTACAAATGCAGCTGAAAACAGGAGCCACTAGCTCAGGGGTGTCAAACTGCCGGCCTGCAGACTGGATGCGTCAGGCCGAAACCGCGCCCACCCCAGCTCCGGCAATGGGGAAAATGTCGCGATACATCGGGACACGTCACATGATGTGGCGAGTTTGACACCCCTGCACTAGCTCCAGAGATAAATGGCTAGTACTTGTGGTGAGATGCAGAGGTAGTTACAGAATTTATAGACCACAGAATCATATGGCTGGAAGGGACCTGAGAGGTCTTCTAGTCCAACCCCCTGCTCAAGGCTGGAGCCTTATATGATCCCAAATGGTTGTACGCTGTATTTTTGAAAACCTCCCATGATGGAGAACCCATAACTCCGGGAGGCAAGCTATTCCATTGATTAATTGTTCTCACTGTCGGAAAATTTCTCCTTAATTCTAGGTTGGATTTCTCTTTAACAAGCTTCCACCCATTACTTCTTGTCCTGCCCTCTGGACAAGAATTCAGTCAGAATAAAGAAGAGGCTGTTGCATGGTCATTGAGGCACAATGGCAGGCACAATGGACAACCTTTGAGGCAACCTTGACTTGGTGATTTTACAGGGCATGTAGGCCATCCCATTTGTAATTTCTAAACAATGAAAGAGGAGATCTTTTAAGTGTGCCACATTTTTTCTCACAAAATGAGGGCAACTGTAAAGAGTATCCTGAGCAAAAAAAAATGGCTCCAACAAAGCTTCTCCTATTCCTGGTTATTCTGTTATTGATACCATTCAGAATTTGACTAAATCGCTTACTTATTGGAAGGAGAGCAAGTGCAACAACCCAGCATCACATTTTTACCTAATTGAGATTCCCTTTGTAGAGTCTAATGCAAGAAATGAGGAGGGTAAATCAAAAATCACATGAACATTTATAGATGAAGTAGGAACATTCCAAATAGGCCAATTGTAAAACATATCCATGTATTATTGAACCTATTGCCAAACACAATTTGTGTTATCATTGTCATCATCATCATCATCATCATCATCATCATCATCACCATCCACAATTGTGTCATGGAATATAATATATGTACAACTAGAATGTTGTTGGAAACTATTATTCCCAAAATGAACAATTTATTTGGGGACTTTGTAACACTTATTCAGCAAATCTTAACATTGCCCAGGAAAAGTAATAGCTTTCAAGTATCCCTTGAAACTGCAGTTGTACTTCCTAGAATATTGATTTGGGGGCTACAAAATAAAAACTGGAAAAAAAATAGGCATAATATAAATAACTTGGACAACTTCAGATTTTGCTTTCCGAAGTGTAAAGTTTGCTTGCCTGGATAAAGATGTGGGATAAGCATTCCTGCAGCAACGTCACTGGTCGTGTTAGGAGAAAATCTATCAGCCATGACAGACACTCTGCAGTTTGTAATGGAGTCTGAAATGCACACAGCGGTGGATAAGCCGATCAGACCAGCACCAACAACGACAATCTTTGCCTTGTCCATGTTCTGCTAAGAGAAAGAGGAAGAAGGGGTCTGAATTTAAAGAAATCTACTCAACATAGCCATGAACTAACTAGGAGTTGAGTGCAAGCTAAAGGATACTGTTGCTAAAAAGATTACTTACACTGTGTAACTTTTTATAATATCTCAAGTAATTCTATTACACATACACTATTTCATTCTCCGCAGAAAAAAACAAAAAGGTATGAAGAGGCTTTTAAGCCATAGACCAGAGGTCCCCAACCTTTTGGGCACCAGGGACCGGTTCCGTGGAGAGAGGTTTTTCCGCAGACCGGAGTGCATGGTTTTGTGTGCTGCTTGCATCTCGCGGATGGGGCTCTGCTTGTTTGTGCGGACCGGTTGCTGACATGCCGCAGCCCGGTACTGGTCCACGGACCGGGGGTTGGGGGACCCCTGCCATAGACTGTCCTGCTGGAGTGAAGGAGTTTAAAGAAAATATGACCATCCATATGCTTGACTGAATGGTCCTATCTGGAGAAAATTAAATCAGCAACTGTCCAGATGCATTATGAAGGTAGGTTGTTTCTTCTGGTTCAATATGTCATATAAATCCAGCTATTGGGATTCATAAAATATAAATTATTAATTAGCACACTGTAAAATGCAGCCAATTTTGCTTTTTTTCCAATAAATAGTAGTTTAAGAACTGGAGTTGGCAGCTTGTAGCTGGCACTATTATAGTTTGATAACAAATCAAAAAGTAAGATAAACCAACTTTTCCTGCCTTGCTAACTTTGCTAGCTGTGTTGGCAGTCAGGGGCAGCATTGATACATTCTCTTCCTTAAGCTAAGCCAAAGCCGGTCATTATTTGCTTAAAATCAAAGATCAGCACCAAATGTGGAAGATTCACCTCCAGTTCAAAAAAAAAAAAATCAATGCAAAACACTGCATGTGTAAAGAAAACTAGCAAGAGGCCTCATGCTGACCCTGTGCCCTTGACTGGAAACATCAACAGAGGTGTTCAGAGACCTACTCTTAGGTCAGGCACATGTTATTTACTTGGTTAAAAGTGCTTCTTCAAGGTTTTTGCAAGCAAGTAATTGGAGGACCAGGGTGGTTCTTTTTTTTATTCTTGCGACCTATGATATTCACCACCTTGGGAGAGCTTAACTGATGTTATTAATGCAGCGTTCCATGTGCAATCAAGTTAACTAGCTGGAAGCAGTTAGAAAAAAGCAAGGAACATCAAGACTATTACAAGAATTTTTAAACCAGCTGCTCAGAGGCAACAGTCTTTCCTTTCCTTTCCTTCTTTCCTTTCCTTTCCTTTCCTAAAGCATGCTGAACAAAAATCTATTCCCAGTTACTCAACTTGCTTAATTTCAACAGTATTCTTTCATTGACAGAATTATCAAACCAATGAATCAGAAACCCTTGCCAATACTTTTCTGTTGCACATCCGGACCTGCTTTCTGCCATTCCCTGCATCAAGAATGGTCCATATCTGGCCTGTATCAAGTTTTAAAGAAGAACTATCTAGAAGAATCAGAATTTCCTAGTTTAACTTTATAAGCTACATTAATTCATAGGTGTAGATCAGGGGTCTTCAAAGTTGGCCCTTTTATGACTTGTGGACTTCAACTTCCAGAATTCCTCAGCCAGTGTGCCTGGCTGAGGAATTCTGGGAGTTGAAGTCCACAAGTCATAAAAGGGCCAACTTTGAAGACCCCTGGTGTAGATAGATAGGCATGCCAGATAAGAGATCGGAGAGGACATCTGTAAGCTCTTCCTAAGTGCTACTGAAGTACAGTGCATTTCTCCAGTCCCTAAGCCAACAGGAAACTCACTAAGTAATTTGTGTTGTCCCAACAGACAAGTTCAAATCTGCCAAAGGAAAGAGACTTGCAAATTATAATTTTATTGCAGGACAATTTCAGGGGAGAGATTGGCAGATTCCACTGGCTTTGTTTCCCCTCTCTCCCAAAATCAGCATCAGATAGGAAAAACTACCACCAATCCCAGTCCATGGAAGAAGGACCCACCCTGGGGAATGTAGCTTCACCTATCTTTCTGGTCATCTGTGTGATAGTTAAACAAGATACTGTTTTCAAGAAGTTTTTCTGCTAACAGGGCACTAGGGCAGAGGGCACCCTGCAATGCATTAACCACTTAACCCTGGACCATTCTTCACCCCACTGCACAGAAGCTACTGGTATCCTATAACAAGTCAATCAGCCTTCCTGTCACTTGAGCTAGAAGGGAATCTGGCAGAGAACGCTTACCGCTTTTACTCCAGCTCCAGAGTATCCCACATTAATAATGTTACCAGAGAAAGAGTTGTCAGCAAGTGGTTGCACCTGGAATTATCCCAAGGGGGCAAAATATCACTGAATAGGAAAAATGGCACATTCTTCCTTCCAAAGTCATAAAAAAGGTAATAAATCTGCCAAACCCTTTGTTGGCAAAAACAAAACATTTTGAGTTTTTGGAGGCAGAATCAGCAATATAATTTTTCTTCCCTTCCTTTTTTTTTTCCTGGATCCAGTGAAAGACTCTTGAACATTTGCTTAATGATATTATCTTTGTTTATTGGTGAAATAAAACAGATGGAAGTAATATAACCACAATAGCTCAATAAAACATATGGTTACAGTTAATAACTGTATCATCAATATACCAAAGTTTTAAGAAATGGGAAATACACTTCCTATGATTTAGAGATGAAGTTAATTTATCAGAACATTTTGTTTCATTTGTATTGAATTCCTCAATGAATGTTTGAAAAAGGACGGATCAAAGCTTTTTCTGCTGGTATTTTAAGACATTTGAGGGTTCTTTTATCTGCAAGATTTTGTCATGTTCCTTCATGATCCTTTTTTGGCCCCACATTAATACATAGGATAACACAACTTTTGGGGAAAAAACATAATAGTTACGCTTTTCAAACTTGGCAACTTTTAAGAACTGTGGACTTCAACTCCCAAAATTGAAGCAATATGTTTATATATGGTCTAGATTTCATGTTACAAGATTTAACTAGTTTTTATTAATATAGTATTTTCCTTTTTTCTTAAAGTAAAAAAATGAAAAGAGGTTGATTTTATTTTAACCATATGTTTAATAACAAGTCCAGTGATCTACCAGAAGACTGCTACTTTCCAAAGGCATGTCAGACATGCTTCCTCCATTCCTTTATAGAATGTCAAGACATTCTAGATCAATTTTTTTTCTAAATCAGATGTTGTAGGTCAGGGATCTTCAAACTTGGGGCCCTTTTATGACTTGTGGACTTCAACTCCCAGAATTCCTCAGCCAGCCATGCTGGCTGAGGAATTCTGGGAGTTGAAGTCCACAAGTCATAAAAGGGCCACGTTTGAAGAGCCCTGTTGTAGGTCAACATGCTGGCTGGGGAATTCTGGGAGTTGAAGTCCACACTTCTTAAAATTGCCCAGCTTGAAAAGCACTGCAGAAACCAGTGTCCAGTTTTTCCTGCAGCCTAAGCCAACCTAGCCACAGATGGCAGAGCTCAATAATGGGGGAGCAGGAGGAGGGGCAGGAAGGGAAAAAGAATGTGCCCACATCAGCCTCAACCAGCCATTGTTAGTCCATGGCTACAGCATTATGTGTGAGTGTCACATATCACTTGCATGCCATCAAACATGACAGGAGAAGGCAGAAACTTTTAAAATGTAAGGTAGATAGCCGCTAGATAGCCAGGCAGCTTTCTCTTGTTATAAATGCTCAATTGTTGCCCCCATTTTACAAAGGCCCAATCACACATATACTAAAAACATGGATATGTGTGCTTGCATGTGCTAGCCATTTAAAAATAATATTTCATTTTTTGAATGGAGTGAGGAATGACCCTTGTGGTCTTTAAATTGTTTTTTCTTTCTAGCTATAGTAGCCTGAATCATAGTAGCAGACTGAATCATGGGGAGGTTTTGTACTTTTCAATTAGTCAGCTGCAAAGAGAGGTGAGTTCCCATCCTGTCCTCAGTATCCAACGGCTGCAAAAGGGAAGATGATCCCACCAACAACGTGCAAACAGTTTGCAGGGACTGAGGAGCTGAAATATTGCTGTTTTGAAGTGTACTAAATGACAATCTGGCACTGAGATTTGTGGCACTGGGTATCAATATGACCTGTAAGTGCTTAATGTATATATATGCTCAAAAAACACTACCTAAGAATATACCTTTGCTCCAGAATTACCGTAGATTCTGATTTCATCTTTGATTTATACATAAACAGATGCAGTTTGTGAAACAAGGTGGGTTTTTTTAATGGGTTTTAAACAGGATGTCTTTTGCAATCTGTTTGAAAATAGCTGAAAAGCCTGAACTTTCTATGCAGCTTTGCCATTTTACTGATCTGTTTGTTTCAAAACAAGAATCTGAACTTTGAACTTGGCAAGAAAAAATCCGGTTGATAATTTCCCAAATATATTACTTGGAAAGGGATAGCAGTTAAAAGAACAGCTGAGGTATTTGTTCTTTGTCCCTTCTAGGAATGAATACAGCAATTTTTTTTTCAAACTGTGTGGATTCCTGCCATAGCCATCCTTTCAAATGTCATATAGCAAAAGGTTTGGTAGACCAAATGGCTTTCTAAACCTCTCTGGGGACCTTCTAGAAGTTCTCTTTGAGTACTTGATAGACAGGCTTACAAATTAAAGATGGCTAGCTAAACCCTTCCCCCCAATTAACTTTCATGTTTTATTTGCAAAACATTCATGCTTTTTTTTATTAAGGTGAGATTTTAGATATTAAAACTACATATACAATATACTTTATTTCATTAACTAGAAAAAACAAACAAATGCTGTCATGGGAATTCTGAGAATTGAAATCCATACATATGAATGATCCCCAGTTGGAGAAGATTGCTCTGGAAAGCATATACCAGTGGTGGCGAACCTACGGCAAGGGTGCCAGAGGTGGCACTCAGAGTCCTTTCTGTGGGCATGCATGCCGTCACCCCAGTCCTAGGCCTTCAGCTGGGTTTTATAAAACCTTTTCGCTTTAGGCCTCCGCCACCATTTAAAAAAAAAAGGTTCAATCAATCAGTCAATTTCAACTTCTCGCGGGGAAAAAAAAGATCTTGCAAAGTTGGAATTGATTGATTGAACTTTTTAGTCTGCTGTTACCACCGCAGCCATGCCCACCCAATGGGCCACACCCACCTAATGGGCCACACCCACCCGGCACCCGACGGGTTTTGGGTTGCAGTTTGGGCACTCGGTCTCTAAAAGGTTCGCCATCACTGGCATATACTGTACAGTGGTCTGATTCACAGATCATGTAGAGTAGACATGTCAAACTCGTGACGTCATGTGACATCGTGCAACGTATCGGAACAGTTTTGCCATTGCCGGCAATGGGGTGGGCGTGGCTTCTCCGTGATGCGGCCGGCCCGCAAGCCAGCAGTTTGACATCCCTGATGTAGAGTGTTAACTTTTATTGCTAAAGAAATTATTTGTCTTAAGACTACTTTCTCACCATTCTGTAAGATTATTACAGAAAGATTAAAATTCACAATCTACAGCTATAATTCAGAACCTGACAACAAAAAATGAAGAATTCACTTAAAGAATCAAAGCTATTTGGCTCCTAGAACTGTTGCTTTGATTTCTGAATGAACCTTCAAATATTATCATTGTCATCATCCTACAGTGTTTAAACAATAGCATCTTGAATGTGTCAATGTCTCCTTCCCAAATAGCGGGATGTAGCTAACAATATGCTAATTCTACACCAGTACATAACAATACATTAGTTTACAAGATAATTTCTAGATTAGTGATATTATTTTGCATGGAACACCTTGACTATTTGGGGGAAAACTGATTGTACTTGAGGCATGTTCTTATTTTTTGAGAAAACCTTATGTCGAGGCCTTAATTGATTAAAGAATTGATGGCAAGTTATAGAAAAGCCAGCTATAAAAAATTAATTTGTGAGAAAGCAAACTGATGCTTCCTGTTATTTGCACTATCTCAACTACCCAGCTCTTTTATTTACAACTGAATTTCTTTTGAGAAAATGGGTACACTTTTAAACAAAGTACTGAGTTCCAGATACTTGCCAATTTTATTTTCTTAAGGATACTTATGGAATCCAGTGGCATTCATGGAAATGAAGACAAAGCTGAAGGGAGCTAGTGCTTTACTTTTGCAGAATATAACTTTTTTTTTCTAAATTAAAAAATATAGAAAGTCAGGTAGGGCAGGAAATTTGCTTTGAAATTTACTTTCTGCAATGCAGTCTTCTCTTGTCAGTGTTACATGACGAATGATCATTCAACTCCTAAACCAGTGGTTCTCAACCTGTGGGTCGGGACCCCATTTGGGGTCGATCGACCATTTCATGGGGGTCGCCAAGCAAGGCTGTCCGCCATTTTTTTGTCCGCCATTTTTTTTGTCTGCCATTTTTCCCCCTTTTCCGGCGGGTGCCTTACCTCCCTTGGGCTGGGCCAGCTGGTGGTCGGCCTGCTCCGTCTCTGCCGCTTGCCAGCTACGCCTCGGCCGGCGCAGGGGGCGGAACCACACATGCGCGGCGCTCACAAGCAGGGAAAGTCCTCGACTTACGACCGGTTGGGTAGTCCTCGACTTACGACCGGTTTAGTCCTCGACTTACAACCAGTTTAGTCCTCGACTTACGACCGGTTGGGGTCACGGCATTAAAAAGGTTGAGAACCACTGTCCTAAACAATAGTGTGCATTTAGTAAGGGCTTTAAAGGCTGGATCACAGATATATGTCTATGACTACTCCATACCCGACAAGTGAAATCAAACTTAATAAGACACTTGAATGTGGTTTCTTTCATATACTTTAGAAGCTGCTAGAACAAGGAAGAAATGGATTAAAGTTATAGTTTATTTATTTAGCTACCCATTTCAATCCAATTGATTGACTCATAATGCTTGGCAAAGCCTCTCTTGCTTTATTTATATAAAGCATCCTTCTCCTCTTCAATTGCTATTTCCTCTCCTGGCAAATAGAAAAAGGAAGAAACAATTTCTGCCTGAAAAGTCTGTCCTTCTTCTAGCTGAATTTAACTTTTTTTTAAAGAGATACTGTGATTATAGACTACCTAAATGTCATTAAGTTTAAATTTGTTCCCATTTGCTAGTTTAGGATAGTTATATTAGCCTAGATTCCCTTTTACACCAACTAGTAGTAAAGGACTGTATAGTCAGGGGTAGGCAACCTTGGCTCTTTTATGACTCGTGGACTTCAACTCCCAGAATTCCTGAGCCAGCATGGCTGGCTCAGGAATTCTGAGAGTTGAAGTCCACGAGTCATAAAAGAGGCAAGGTTGCCTATCCCTGGTATAAGTTGTTGCTCAAAATAACAGTTCAAAGAGCTCTGGGATAGGCTCAAACATGTTGAAGATTTGGAGTACTTCTAATTTTCTATTATTTCCATTCTCAATTGATAGTTGATCCACTGCTACATTGATGGTCAACCACTTTAAAACCCAAACGTTAAATACTATGGGAAAATAGAAATTTCACCTATGGGGATTTGAGGTAGGCTGAAACCAGAATGGACTGACCTACAGTACTGCAGAGCTTCAAAAGATCTATGGTGGCTTCCCATCCAAAGCTGCTGTACCAATACATTGACTCAATTTTACTCTATCGGTTTTTAATATTCTTTGTCTAAGAATGTGGTTAAGCATGCTACCACATTTACACTATTTTTACACAGACCCAAACCTTGTGAAGTAAGTTGGAATGGACCTGCAGGTGTCCTCACTATCTTTGACCACAAACAGCTGACCAATATGGGGGTACAAAAAGCAGCATTCCAGTCAGCCCCCCCCCATTTCCCTTGGCAAAGTGCTTCCTTTGGTGGTCTTAACAAAACTTTTTTTCTTGCAAGGATACAAAAGACAATAAGACTACAAGGCAATCTATCTCCAATGAAAAGTGAATGAAAATTCTTGCCAATGAGAAACTGACCATTCCCAAATCTGAGTGTCCCATAAATTAAACAGTAGATTTGTCAAGCCAGAAACGCATCAAATCAGCTGCTCAATGTAAAAAAGCCACATGGAAAAAACAGGGAAGCAGTACATGGACCCTCAAACAAGGCCACAGCTCCATTTGGATATTTCTTTTTTAAAAAAGAACCTATCAGATCAATACTGAACAACACAAGATATCTCTCTTTTTCTGCTCCTCCTGGCTTCCTCACCATCTTACTTGAAGTCAGAGGCTTGTGATTACTGGATCTTATGAATAAAAGTTTAGTTAGGCTAATAATGGCATTGCCTTCATATGGATTTTGAATCTTTTGCTTACTCAAAAGATTCAAAAGCCCCTTTTCCAAGGAGTTGCTCCTGTTCCTAAATAACTGCGTATCATTTCTTGCTGAGCGTTTATAACAGATAAAGCTTTCTTAGAGATTCATCAAAGTTAATCATTAAGGAGTCACCAGACATTTTGCTTATTGTTAGTGCAAAAGGTCAGTAACTCTGGAGCCTGCATTGCTCCAATAAAATAAGAAAATAGCAGTTGTAACGAATATTAGAATACCTTTTTCCCAAAGCACTTTAATACTATCAGGAGTAGGAGTGTATAAATACTATCCACTAAGCTTCTTTCATGAATGTTAATGACATCACTTTTCAAGAATATCTCAAGCCATTGTGTGTGTGTGTGTGTGTGTGTGTGTGTGTGTTCCAAAAGATCGTTCTTCAAAGGATACTTAAGAGAACGACAAATAGAAAAAAGACCTGTTGGTGGTTTGACCAATATCAGGGAAGAGCAATTTCTCCATAGCTGCAAAAAACAAACAAACCCCACACCTTATGTTGCTGTAAAGTACAACAACGTACGTTTCATGTATTTACTTAAGAACTGAGTAAATACCACGTATTACGTGGGGAAGGGGAGGGGGTAGAAATACCTTTCTCCATAGAGGAAACCAGATGCTTTCGCACAGAAGAGTTGCGTATCAGAGAAAGCAGGAGGGCCAAGCTTACGCCGGAAAAGGTGAACCCAGTGGGCGGAGTTATCATGATTAGCCAACTCTACTAGATTCTGATTGGACGGAATGGGCGAAAAAAAAGTACTCGGCCCTTTTCGCCTCTCGCGCGTGCGCGCGCCCGCCCGCTGAAAAGGGTTTGTGAAAGGTGCGGCTTTCGGAGAGGTTTCATTTTGAGGCGGCAAATCTGGGAACTGTTACTACTACTGGTAGCCCAGCTGCTGCTTTGCTATAGTATTTTTAATCAGAGCGGCTAAATTGTACAGGCACAATAGTAGTAAAAAAACATTCAGGTAACATGTGAAGCTTCAGAGGGATTTAGTTATGGATTAGCACGTTGCATGAAAGATAGTTATGCGGTGAGATATCTGCCCTGCATCCAGTACTCTTCAGCATATTTACAAACGACATAGATGAGGGGATAAAAGGGAGATTGGGCAAATTTGCGGATGCCACAAAGGGGGGGGGGATTGCTAAAACCCACAAAACAGGCTGAAGGTTCCAAGACATGGCAGTTCTTTTTAGCAAAATTCTATTTAGTGATGAGAATTGTGAGATGCTCAAGTCGGTACCTTGGCTTGGCAGTAGTTGTGAGAAGGATCTGTTCTGGAAGACCACAAATTAAGCATAAGGCAGCACTGTTGTGCTGCAGCTGCCAAAAGAGCCAATACAGTTTTGGGCTACATCAGTAGATGCTGGTACAAAGGTACAGTATAACGTCAAGACCATGGAAGTGATAGTTCTGCTCTACGCAGCATTGGTCAGACAGCAGTTGGCATACTAGACTGGATTTTGATTTTCCCAAACAAGAAGACTGCTGAGAAACTGGAGAGCGTGCAAAGAAGAGCAACAAAGATAGTAAAATCCTTGAGATTAAATTCTATGAAAGAATGTTAAAAGAATGTTTAAGCTTGAAGAAGAGAAGACAAAGGGGAGACATGATAACAGTATTTTAGTACTTGAAGAGCCATCTCAAGAAGTCATGCATTTATTCTCTGTAATGCCTGAGGGTAGAGTAACAACCAATGCTTTATAGAGAGAGGTCTAATCTCAAAATGAGTAGTTTGCTGATCATAATAGCTCTTAAACAGTGGTGTAGCCTGCCTTGTTTCATGGGTGCTCCATCACTGGGGATTTTCAAACAAAGGTTGGAGAGCATGGGATGGCCCAAGGATTCCTGTCCTAGAGAGGGGTTTGGAGTAGAGTTCCCCAACCTTTTGGGGTTGGCAGCATGGAGGGAGGAGAGGGGGGAAAGAAGAGATGGTTTTGTGGGGGGGAGGTGAATGCATGTGCGTGCATGCATGCGTGCATGGACGAACACCATTGCTCACGCGAATGGGGGCTTGAGTGCCCACAACACGGCAATGCTCATGCGAGTGGAGCCGTGAATGCCTGTGATGATGCTCTCGTGAGTGGAACCACAAATGCCTGTGATGACACTCGCATGAGTGGAGCCACGAACACTCGTAATGCTCATGGCAAAGCTCACGCAAGTGGGGCCGCAAATGCCCACGACAGTCAGTGAAGCTTGCACAAATGAGGCTGTGCTCGCTCTCTCTCCCTCTCCCTCTCTCTCTCTCTCTCACACACACACACATGCATGTCCCCCAGGTTGGGGACTCATGGAATAGAGGACTTCTAAGGCTCCTTCCTGCCCTGTTAGTCTACAATCATGTGAACTTAGCCAAATATAGTTCATTAGTTAAATCAAGATGAATTAAACCATGGTTTAACATGATAGAGTCCAGTCCTTAAGCTAATTTTCAGATTCATTTGATGGAAACAGTTGCAATTGTTCTGGGTTTACACGAAACTTTTATGTCTTTCATTGATTTATATCACACCTTTCACTGAACCACAACCTTGCCATTCATTTTTTTAACTTCTGGCATTCTACAGCCCATATCTATCACTTTTGGAAATATTAATCCAACTATTAGATCTACCTCCACTTTGCCTTGTAACTTCAAACGATCACAAGACAAATGATTGCAAGTCAAGGACTAGCTGTATACTATTGCCAGCATACAATACATTATTAAAAACTGGAGTAGATTCTCAACATAATGCACATACTTTTTATTATTTGAGTTCTTTCATGTATTGGTTTCATTCGATCTTTTCATGTTGCCTCCATGCGCTTGTAATGGGAGCCTTGGGTTCCACATCGGAAGTAGATTTGCTTTTAGAGGCATGAAACCCCATACATACCTATCTCAGTTTCAAGAGCACCAAACATGGAAAGAGCACCAAACACAAAAACCAGGAGGGTTGGGGTAGGGATAAAAAGCATTGACTTATTCTGGAGAAGCTGATGGAGGATGGATAGCAGGAAAGAAAATGCTGTTTTAAGGGCTGGTTTTACCCATTAGTCTCTATTGACCTTCCAGAAGAAATAAGATAATGAACTAAATTAGCAAAGCACTGAGGAATCTTCAAAGGGGTTTGCTCAGAATTAATATGATGCACCAACCATTGTCATGCAACATCAGTCATGGAACAAAGTACAAGGGTCCTGATGGAGTACCTGGAGCCTAACTTCACAAAGTTTTTTTCCCCCTTCATTTCTGTATGTATATCTATGGAGATTCCCAGGCATCCAGGTCGTGGATTTCCTAAAGGTGCTGTTAAAAAGGCAACTGGACTTTCTTGTTTTGTTTTTTTCTTTCTGTATACACCGTTTCCACTTCTCTGATTTATTATATTCTATTTTTATTTGTTCTTGGTTTTCTTGACAATCCCTGCACATTTTCTTCAAAATGTTCCCAGGCCCCTTTCTCCCAAATTTGCCGAGGAGTTCAATTTTGTAATAAGAATTGAAGTATATATACATTTTTCTAGACTCTGCAAGTTATTAGACATTTTCAAGAGTGTTACTTTTAACACCATCTGGTTTCAGTTGTGTTCTCCCAAACATACTAAAACTACATCAAGAAACAGTATTTTCTTCTATCTGCATAATGCGGATATCTAGAACAGGGTCCATGAAAGTTAAAGAATGCCTGTTTCTTTTCCTTAACTGATGCTAGGCAATATACAGATAAATCACTGCAACACAAAGTGAGTGTTCCTACACTGCCATACTTCTTCCTGAAATCATGAGTTTCTACTTTCTTCTGGTGTTGGCTGTTGCTGATATAAGGAATCCTGAGAGAATTTTCAAAATGAGCAGAAAGAGAACATTTTCTCTCTGTGTGTCTCAGAAAAATAATTCACGTTACTCCATCTGCTAGCTAGATGATTCAGAAAAGCACCCTGAACAAGGAACTAGGTCATATGTTTCTCTTCTTGAGAAAGCAAGAAAATGTTCCAGTTACATGGCACATGGATTGTCTGTTAGGATATTGCAGATAAAATCACACAAGCTGGCTAAAAACCAAAGGGATAATTTTATCAGTCAGTGCCACGTGCTCCTTGGTTTAGCATTTCCATTTTCTCCAGTGTTGCATCATTCTGTGCTGGAAGAGATTTTTCTGAAGGGCTTTTTTTGGTGACCCGGTCATCTAGCTCTGCAGCTTCTGCCCACGTATTTGTCAACGGTCTTCCAAGTGTTTCTGGCAGCAGCAGTGTTAGCACACCACTCAAGAAGGCCACGATTCCAACAATCAACTAAAACAAAGCAAATGTCATTCAAATGAGCTCAAGAGAGAGACGATGCAAAAGGATACTATACAACTGAAATGCACTCATTGTTGCCACTGTATATTGGAAACACTGATGTCTAGAATCTCATTAACAGGCGGCTTTTCATTTCCATTGCTAAGCAAGGCAAGTTAAGTCAATCTTGTCTGATTTTACAATCTTTTTTGCCACTATTGTTAAGCGAATCACTGCCTTTGTTGAATCCAGCTGCCCCTATTGACTTTGCATGTCAAAACTGGCTGGGAAGATCACAGTGGAGATCACATGATCCCACAATACTGCAAATGCCATAAATACATACCAGTTGCCAAGTGCCCAAATTTTGATCATGTGATCATGGAAATCCTACAACGGTAGTAAGTGTGAGGCCCATTAACTCAACAAATGGCTCAACAAATGGTTTTAAGTCTAGGACTGCCTGTTTATGTCCAACATAACCTCTTAAAAACCCAGCTGAAGAAACTTTTTTAAAACATTTTTTTAAAATTCTAGAATTTTTAGCTAAACGGAAGTAATCTACTCTTAAAGCGCCACAAAGAGTCATCAGCCTCAGCTCCAATAGCAATGCCTAAAACACACTTTTCCGTTGTAAGATTTTTAATGTTGTTCTTACATTGATTGATTTATTTGGGCTTTTTATGGCCCCAGAAACAGTTGTTTAAAAATATGGCTATAATGTAACTTTTCAAACTCTTCATATTGTGTTTCAATTAAATAGCAATAATTATAACAAATTCAATCATAAGTAAGATCAGCAAAAGCTGATTAAGCTAGCCATGTTAAGATAAATTACCAATAGGTGGGGCAGCTAATAAAATCAAGGGAAGGTAAATAAAGGGTTAAATTTCCAGCAAAAACTCATCATGGGGGTGGCTTGCCTAATCTCTATTAAAGTTAATTCTACAATTGGGCACTGTTACCTCTGTACAATGGCTGAAAGCACATCAGTGAGCCATGTTATGATCAGTAATGCATTCTCCCCTCAGTGCAAAGATATGATGGGCAATGTTTTTCAAACTTGTCCACTCTAAGATGCATGGACTTCAACTCCCAGAATTCTCCAGCCAGCCTGGAGACTTGAAGTCCACACAGATTAAAGTTGCCAAGTTTGAAAGTACACTAAATATTCCCAAACACTAAATCTTCAAATCACTTCTACAGTAGAATCACATCTCTAAGCACTGTACTATGTCCTGGCTAGAATTATCCCTCTAAATAAAGATTAGGGCAGAGAAAACACTGAAAGAAAAAAGTACATATTAGCACAGGCTTCAAGTGAAGGATAAATCAATTTAGCAGCTGATAGTTCTCAGACCCAGACATCTAAA